TACAATTACTGTTGTTGTTGTTGTTGTAATAATAATGGTGATGATGATAGTAATAATATTTTATCACATTTCAGTTACTAAGCTGTTCTTACCTCAACCCATGAGTTTTCCCCTTTTCTGATTCTTCTCCCCGTCCCACTGGAAGGATGTGGGGGGAGTGAGCTAAGGGCTGTTTTGTACTTAGTTTCTATCTGGATTTAAACCATGAAAGTTAATTGAGGTTTACTTAGATAAAGATTTACCATTTATTTCTTTCATATTTTATTTMATAATCTTGGGTTTATACTACACCCTGCCTTTATGGTACCAAACTTCTCTTTAATATTACAATGTCATGTGRCAACCAACTTCCATAATGGGAATACTGCAAAGCTGCGAGATAAAATCTCRCTGTCAAGCAGTAAACTCATTATAACCCCTCAGTAGCAACATTTTTTAAAAAATCTAGCAAAATACTGCATAAGATACTGCTTTCTTACTTTATGTTATTTATATTTGAAGTCTGGCAGAAAGCTGAGAAATCTCTCATAAGGGACGAATGCTTCATTGATACAGAGCCAGGGGAAAAGCTTTACAGGAGAAATTGTTCGTTGACTCTGTGACTGTAAGTGTGGAAGAGCAGAAAGAATTTGATAACAATAGTTTAAAAAACACAACAAAGCTAAGGCACAGGAYTGGGATATAAAAAGTTTTAACTGTATATATTCATTTTAGTGGATCTGAAAACAAATGGAAGATTACTGGGAAAAGATTMACTGTAACAAATGCAAAGAAATGTTTGAAGCAGTTAGAAAAGCTTTTTATAGTAGATTGGTTACATATACTTAATTGTGTTTGATTTTTTTTTCATAATTAATTCCATTGTTTTACTGAACTCCTGCTGAATGTCTCACATAGTCGAGTTGTCTTGCATAATTAAAAAAATTAAATATATAGAAACTTAATATCAATTTGATTAATGTTGTGCTACATACTTTAATATATGAGCTGCTCATACTGGCTGAGGGCTGCTTCATGCTTAGCTGAGGAGATAAACCACAATTTAAAACAAAGAAACCACTGTGATAACTTAGTGGAGTTAATGGAAATATTTGACTTTATGTGAARTAAAAAAGGATATGTAAGAAGGTGATAAGAAAGGTCATGTTGTAAGAAGATCATAAGTAAGTCTTTGTAATGAGAARCCCAAATTATTTTAATTCCCACTGTGGCCCTGCACACAGGCATTGTCCAAGCTGATGGTGTTTTGGAGCACTGTTAGCAGCAGTCAGAGGTGAGCTGGCCTGAGGTCACAGCAGTCTGTGGAGCTGTTCTGTGCGGAAGGTTTTATAAATCTTGAACTGGTGTGTTGTAGAAGCGTAGAGCAGCAGACATACTGACAGCAAGACATAACATACATGATGTACATACAGCTAGTTTTTGTGGATATTACTTACTGAATCAGATTTTATAAAATACAGTTATATGATGYTCTTGGAGAACAATTGGAGACCAAGGTAGAATAATATCCTGCAGTGCATGCACTTTTCTGTATCTGTGGCACAAGCAGAAAATCTGATTGTATCTGGAGGGGTGAAGCTGAGACCATGTTTTAAACTGCAAACACAAACSTTCCTTTGACTCTGGGTCTAATTTTGGTCTCCCTTGCTTTGAGATAAACCCAGTAAGGATGGGTAAAGTTGCAGATGCTCATTGTGACTCAGATGTACCTGAAAATGCTCATTGTGACTAGATGTACCTGAAAACATTAACACTGAGCAACAGATAAGGAGGAACCACTGGCTGTTTTTTTGTTCAGAGTATCACACCTGGAATCTGTGCTTATGTGACCAGTTAGTCCTCCATCCTTTGGTTTGTTTTTTTTTTTTTTCTGATACATTTCATGCTTTGTATTTCTGAGTACAGGTGTTTAGTTAGCACTGCTGTTGAGACTGAAAACTATCATGAGGAGCGCTGCATGGCTTTGTGTAAATGAAGTGAACCATTTTAGTGTAAAGATGAATGTAACTGGCAATGTCACATCCAAAGTAGCTTCAGTTTTAGCTTGTACCATGCAACTGCTTTCTAAGAGCTTTCAGGTAGGTGACAGATTCATTAAGAATCTGACATGAGGAGTAGTGGAGATCGTAGGAGAATTCTGAAAGGCAGTGTTAAGCTCATATGGCAGAAACGTGCCTACTGTGTTTTGTGCTCAGTGCTTGGTCCAGCCAGTGCTGAGAGTCACTTTTCTTCTATGGTGAATGTCAATCTGGCACCTGTTGAAAAGAAAACCAAGTCAAAAGAACTGCAATGTCTTCTTTCAATTCATTTGACAGTGGCAYATTAGGTAATATTGTTTCTGAGTAAAGCCAGTCGTGAATACATGATTGAGTCCAAAGCTCTTCCTGTTAGCTAAGGACCTTCATTACCATTCATGGACATTTTATGTAATTGCTTGTGTAAGGGTTGCACATGATGCATTGTCTACTTTGGCGAAAAGTACTCAGCAGGTGCCGTGATTTTGTGCACTAAAAATGAATATTTAAGACCCAGGGGAAGCTATTCACAGCTTTGGGGAGGTGGGGAGATAGTAGAAGCATAATTTAAAGTAGTTTATGGCTCTTTTAAAGCACTATTAAAAGAAATATCTCAACATTTCCTAGGGTGATTCATCACAAGCTGACTTGTCTGTTAAGGATTTTCCCAAATGTTTTTCTAGTTAGATAAAGGATACGCATGAATGTGCAAAACGATTTGGCTGTTTAGTCTGAATGATGACAATTTGTAGAAAACTGAATTTGCCACATTCCTATCTTTCATTTGCAGCTGAGCTGGGAGTTCAGTGTTGTTCCTTATACCTTTTTGATTTGTTGGGATATTTTACATCCATAGGGCAGAAAAACTGGATTCCATCCTCCATATCAACCTATTCAGTAACTTAGCTTGCATGGATATTTAAAAGAGTRTATAGGAAAAAATCAAACTATATCTGAAGTATGCCACCACAGGATGAATTAATCCACTACCAGCTCCAGACTTCTGAGTCTGGGTGTCATTGCCCTAAAAACTTGTATCAGCACACTTGTAACAGCATGATTCAGAAACATGTGGTGTTGACCTTTACTTTGTTACCGCTAGTTTTTACAGGTGTCATTGTGGGAGCAGTATCCGGCAAGTGCATGTTGCAGTGCAAGATGTGGCTGTTTGCCAGTGACTCTGCTTGGGAGTTTATATTTTCTGAGGTTTATTTTTCCATGCACAGACTGATGTCAGTGGTGCATGTGAGTACATTTAAAGAAAAAAAAAAGGAATTCCTACTTAAAATAAGTGATTCTGTGCACTTATACATGCTTATAAATACAGAAGCCAGGGAAATTATCAGTGTTTTTCAAGTAGACATGTAAAGGACTCTCTTCAGAGTAGCTGTACAAGCTATGTGCTATAACGAAAAGAAATGAAATGTAATCATTATCCAAACACAGTGAATAAAGATAAGAGTTCTCCAAAATTTATCTACCAAATGCATGTCTCTGTCTAACACAGAGTGACTCTAATAGCACATTGTTACTATTAAGTCTGCCCACATATTTTGTGCAAAATCTCTGCGATGAGGCATTCATTGCCTTGAAAAGCTGACACAATGGAATGCTTTTTGTGCTGGCTCTGGACAAATTATAGTCCATTTTATCAGTTCCAAGGTCAGAGTACTATCATGGCTCTTAAACTGTAGTGCAGTAAAGTGGGCTGTATTGAATGTTCAAGGAACAGCTGTAAGTTTGCCTGATTACTGCAGCCAGGTATCTCCAGCACCAGATATTTTTGTCTGAACCTATTTCTTCTGTCTACATTCTCATTTCTGCTGTAATTTAATTTCAGAATTGATTTTTACTGCAATATATATGGAGTTGTAGAGCTAAGACACTTTCAAGACACACAGCAGCCATTGTTAATATGTCACTGTGGAAATGCTTTCATTGTTTRTCTCAGCTCTAGTACCAGTTTCAGCATAAGTCAAAGGGCACTRTTATTAAACACCTTGTACTGTCAGAATCTGTGTTTCTTTCCCTATCATTCTTGTAGACCAGTTCTATTCTTAGACTTGAAAAACATAAGCCCTTTCACACAAAACCTGAACTAGATTTGCACGTACTTAATACTTTCCTTTTCTAACTTGTCTACTACTAGCCTTCCCTTCCCTTTCAAAAAGAGCTTGCAATCAATGTAAAACATTTTTTATGCCCTGCATGCCTGCACTAGTGGGGGAATATTCACTGTCCTGTGAATAAAAATCATCATATTTTTTTTTCTTCTTGGCCCCCTGTGAAATGCAGAACAGTTATTTCAAATTAAGATCAGATTTATTTTTTTTCCTTATAAAAACTGTGTTATTCAGCAGAATCCATTTCTCTCATGGCATACAACCTAAAGCTCCTCTGTGAATAAGGATGTTTCCTTGTCCGTTTTGCACTTTCTCATTTCCCCTTTTACACAGCAGTTCATCAGCATTGCTTTTTAGTTTGCAGAGTGGGTCATTTCAATAACATTCCCCTACCCCCAAACTTTACCTTTCCTTTTYCAGTTCACTCTCTAGAGTTCACGACCAACTACAGACAGATCACTGATTCAGTGGTGTGACGTCTGCTCTTTGGGAGCAGGTGAAGGAATGTGGGTGGCTTTCTCTTACCTGCCGTGGGACCCCAGCACATGTGGGCATCAAAAAGAGTTCCTGTAGAGTAAAACGAGGGCAAAACCACAAATAAAGCTGTCATCTCTTGGTTAGATGGGGYTTAGTGTGTATTTAGGTGATATGATGTGATTTATTGACTTACTGTCTTAATCTGACTTCTAAAATTTGTTTTGTTATTAAGTAGTCATGAATAATTTTGAAATGAGTACCGCCTTGCAATTGCGTAGGTTTTTTTTTTAGCCCTGTTCTTTTAACCCTGTAGGAACACTGACATAGTCTATAACTTTCTGTAGAGAGATAAGCTGTTGAAATATCTTTTTCCTTTCATTTTCAGGGAGTAATATGTGGGAAGCTGTGGACTATTTGCTTCCGACATAGGAACAACATTGGGTTGGGAATCTGCACTCCTGAGAGAATGCTGGGAATCTGCAGAGGGCGACGGAAATTCCTGGCTGCCTCTCTGACCGTCCTTTTTGTCCCAGCCATTATGTGGATTTATCTGTTTGCTGGGAGTTTTGAAGGTAGGAGAGGAATAATGGCTGAGGCGGGGATGGTGGGATGTTGAATGACTCGTATCTGGGCAGACAAATGCAGATCAGTCATCTTTGATTTTATTTAAATAAATCTCATTTGGCTTGCATATGAAATAGTTCCCAAGGTGCACATTTCAACAAAGGGCCTTCCTTACCATGTTTTCACTGCTGAGAATGCTGAGTTAATTACTGGTCGTAGTTACTTGGTTTTCCACTCATCCTTGAACTTTGAAAAAGTGCAACAACTCTGCCCCACCCAGTTCACTTAATTTCTTCTCTGTTATTTTCTAATTTTTAGTAGTTATTCTACCCTATTCCCTGTAAGATTTTTAACGTCTCATTTCAGATATCCTGAACACAGAAAATCAATGAAGCTCTAGATAACGTTTCTTTGTATAAAAGTGGTTTGTATCCACATCYATTTGACTGTCAGTGGATTGTTATAGTTGGAATATCTGTCTCCATCTGTCTTTAGAGGAARTCTTGCAGTTTATAGGTACATTGACTTGCAGTTATGTAATAAGGACTTTTTATAACAGGACTTGGAATAATCACTTTGTCTTTTAAATTGCCTGTCTGATGAAGTTTATTTTTCTGGCCTTGCAGAAGTACAGCAGTAATACTTCAGTTAGGTGAGCTTTGGAAATTCTAGCTCTCCTGGTTTTTGCTGCTTTGTACCTTTTTTTTGTTTGATTGTTTTGTTTTGGAGATGGAGCATTTCATGTTGGGCAGTAGGTATGTTATTTTGGCATGAATTAAAAAAAMCATTCAGCCTTTGTAGGTACTTAGCATGCGGAAAGGTGTTCCAACCTTGTAAAAACAGTTCAGACACTAGTTTGCAGTCTGATAATTTTAAAAAGGCAGTGTTTAAAGTGTCTAGCGTCTTTCTTGTATCCTTGACTGATGATGTGCTTTGTTTCAAAACAAAATGTGTTTCCAAATTACAAGTAAGAACATGTTAAGATTTTCAGTGTGTGTTACATATGATTCTGAATTAGTTATATGCCATGTATAAATATTTGTTTATGCAAATTTATTAGAGTAGTTAAAATTCTACCTTAATATGCAGTAACTCTGTGAGCTCATTCTAGAATGAAACAATTGCAGGATTCATGTGAAATTGAAAATACTAGGGGTGCTAGCTGCATACTTAAAAATAATGATCTGGCAGTCAGAACAGTACTGATTTTGTTTGATTTTTAAAAGCTGAGCAAATGCAGATGTCACCTTTTTGCTTTTAGAAGAATATTATGCTGCTTTGTCATAATGACTATTTTAATTGTGTCCACAGTTGATAATACCATGGTGTTTTAAATTTCTCTGTGGGTAGAATCCTTTGTTTTTACAGAGAACTCAATACAAATCTTGAAATTTGCTGCTACGTGGTATTTGAAGTGATTTAAAGCTCTCAGTGTGAATTAATCTTAAATGCAAAGCAGGCAGCAAAGCCCATTACCTATTACAAAGCATTGCACTGGAAAACCTGTGGAAATTATATAGAGTTAGTAACTTTTGCAGTTATTTTTCTGTATCTGTTTTCTTTTTGTCTTAATTTTGGAAGGGGAATTATTTAATCTCAGTTGGTTAAAAAATGAGGTTAGTTAGATAGATGTTTATTCAACTGAATAGTAGCTAGCACTTTCCTTATCTTGTAAATGTTACAGTGTGGGGAGCCAATTTAATCTTAATTTCTATCTCAGTGCTGATTGTCAGAGGCATTTTGGGGAGGGGTTGCTCATGTGCCACTTGCAGGAGGCAACTAGGAGAAGATGGGTGCAATCGTTTTCTCTGGGGAGACTTTGCTGGAAGCCATTTCATAGATGGTCAGCAGGAGACCCCCAAGGACACTGCACTCCCCAGAGACATTCTCCAATCTGATGGCAAAAGGTGTTCACCAAGGGACTGCAGTGGAACATTGGACTGAGCCAGTGGTCTCCTCCTGGGAGGAGCCAGGGGGCATAAAAAATAACTGCGTCACAGGGGCTTTTTTGTGTCTTGTCTTTTGGACTTTGGAGCTGGGGCTTTTTGAGTCAGGGCTTTTGGATCTTGTGTTTTGCTTTGGCTCCAGTCTGCTGAGGTTTGGTTCTTGCTCTGGTCCTAGCCTTTTTTTCTCACTTCTTGCCCTGGCTTTAACCTTTGGTTTTTCCCTTTTTGCCCTGGCTCCAGCCTTTTTGCCCCAAGTTGCAMCACAGGAGATTTAGATCAAATATTAGGAAAAATTTCTTCCTGAGGAGGGTGACAAGGATTGAAACAGGCTGCACAGGAAAGTTGGGTCACCATCCTCAGAGRTGTTTAAAAGATATGTAGATTGAGKCACTTAAGGACAAGGCTTAGTGGTGGACTTGGCAGTGCTGGGCTAATGCATGGACTCAATGATCTTAAAGGCCTTTGCAGTGCCTTTTACAGTCTTGATGTTGGGTGGATTCTGTGGGTCATTGATAAAAAGATTTAAAAGAATGAGTCATAGAACAGACATTAGGAATTCCACATGAAACTGACTTCCATACAGAGCATGAATGAGTGACCATCACCGTTTGAGCCCAACGGTGATGTTTAGTTTTTTACCCATCTAGTAATCCACCCATATAGACTATAAAATCCCAGCTTGGATGCAGGGRTACTGTGCTTGAATTCAAGGGAGGTTGTATCTACTGGTCATGTATTCAGTCATTTCATCACAGAAGGCAGTTGGGTTGGTGAAGCATGATTTAGTGAATCTGTGGTATAATTATTGCGCCGCCATGCTTGGAAATGTTTCTGTTTGAGGATACGTATAATGGTAAAATGACCTTGGTCTTTTATTCACTAAGTAAAAAGGTTGACGCAGCTGAGTTGTCACAGGAAAAAAAACTTGTGGGGTTTTTTTGGTTATTTTGCATTTTTTTTCTTTGTGTGTTTTGGGGCTCTAGACTCAAATGTCTCTGGTACAGTATCTGCAGTGCTGTGTCTGCCTTATWTATTCTTGATGTAATTAGGAATTACATAACTCATCCATATGTTTATATCTAAGAACTTAAGTTACTCATTTGCCATAGCATGGGAGTAGGATCACATTTAGAAACCCTTTCAAAGCTTCGTTTGTGAACCTGTAATATAAAATACCCCTTACTGCAGTCAGTTCCCATGTTMTCCTTTTTAAACAGTTTGTAGTTCYTTAAGACASATTTTATTTTGGATTTTRTTTCCTTGTCAGAAAGCACATGGCACCCTGCTTCTTCATGATTGTCACTCAGACACTTCCAGCGAGACCCTTCCCTTTGACTATTCATGTGAAGTGGTGTTACCCARGCTGTGACAGCAATAGCTACTAAAAGCCTCATTAATCATGTAGAAATGTCTATTAAGGTTATGAAGTAGAATATTAAAGATGATATTGAATATTGTATAGCCTTTGAAYGTACCTGATTAGTGTTGTTTTTAATAATGCACAAGGACAGCGTAATTTCAGTTATCAGTTACTTTGGATGGAAAAGCTAATTGTTCCAAAATTCTTAGATTATATTCAGAAGACAAAGTAATAGAGTAAGAAGGGTGGAGTGCATTTAAAACAGGGAAAAAGAAATAATCAAATAATACAAGATGAATTTTTATTAGAAAGAAAATAGCAATTTCGCTAACTWGCAGTAGCTCCATAAATAGCTTAATTTTCCAAGGTGTATGTAGCAGTTTTCTATCCCACTTACCATGAAGGTCATGTAAAATGGAGATTTGGAACTGCAATTTGACCATGCTTTCTAGATTACTGATTCCTCAAAAAAAGAAGGAAAAATAATTAACTGTGGTTGTGTGGCCTCAGCAGATTTATAGTCACCTCCGTTTCGACAGGATGAAAATACCCTTGAGTTAYCAGTCACTGTGTGGTGGATCCACTTGAGGTTGAAAGCCCTAAAGTATGTGTGTGTGTAGGGCTCCTGTGTAGAACATATTTCCCAGGAAAGAAAGAGCCAGTAATGTAACCTAAAGATGAAAAACTGAAAAGTTGTGTGAGATTCTGTAGGAAGTCTGAGGGAAAGCCTTTGACTCTGATTTTTTTTTTAACTGCTCAGGTAGCATTTTAAAAAACAGAGCCTGCCTTCTTTCCTGGGACTTGCTTTCCTTGATTGTCTTCTTTTCACTCAAGTGCTGGGTAGCTAGCATTCCCTGACAATTCATTTCAGTCAAAGTCATCTGTATAGAATGATTGAAGGCAAAGCTGGCAAACACCTCATAAAATACAAGAAAATAATTTGAAGGAAGGCTGCAAATATTCATCTTAGTATTTAAATGGATTCACTTTGATGCTGTTCACAATTCTTTGTGTGTTTCCATAAATATACTAGTGAATATGTTAATTGGGAAGACTGTCTATGGAAAYAGTGAATATCCAGTTGTAATATTCATGGGACATAGATTTTGAAATTATATTTGTGAATACTAGAATAAAAAAATGATTCTGGGGGTTCAGCTTTATCAAATTAAGTGCCAAGAGTTTATCACATGGTCTATGTGCATGATGAAAACTGACTGAATTTCTAATGCTTATGTTAAGTTGCTCATAGGAAGAGGCAGACAAATAATTAATTACTAAAATGTCTATCAGACGCTTGCAACTGATGAGCAAACGTCAGAAAATAATTCCTTCACAGACAATGTGATGAAAAAAAGGCATGAAATCTAGAATTGCTTTTTTTTATTACATTTCCTTTAGTTGGCCTAAATTTTTTCTGGTATGTGTCTCAACAGAATTAAACAAGAAAATCCAGTATCCACTTAAAATAGAAGCTTCAACCTTTGTATTGATCCTATGTTTTTAATAAAGTTCTGAGAAAAGAAGTCCTGAAAGGGTGCCTCTGCCTATAGTAAGGGTGTTACTGTGATGAGTGCCTGAACAGATTTACAGGAGGTGTGTTTCAGTGAATGTTGGCTGTCTTTAGTTAAAAAGCATCCCCTTCATTTCCATTCTGGAGTAATGATGGTGGCTTACTCCTTACTCACTTTCAGGTGATAGA